ACAGACTTCAAAAATAAAAGTGAAATTGTAGGTGCCATTAGTTCAATGCAATTATCAAGTAACACAGTAATGCGTCGTATTGGAGCCATATCTTCAAATCAAAAAACTCAACTACAGACTGATTTATCAAAATGTTCATACTTCAGTTTACAAATGGATGAGTCTAACGATATGATTGATACTGCACAGCTTTCTATTTTCATCAGAATGTGTTTTGACGATTTTTCTGTTAAGGAAGAGTTTTTAAAAGTCTTGTCGTTAACCGGAAGAACTAGAGGAGAAAATATTTATAAAACGTTTAAACAATTTGTAGAAGAAGAAGAAATTCCAATTGAAAAATTAGTTAGTATTACAACTGACGGAGCCCCATCATTTTGTGGAAATAAAAAGGGATTTTTAGCGTTATGTAAAAACGATAATTCGTTTCCTCATTTTTTTCAATATCATTGTATAATTCATCAACAAGCATTATGTGGTTCAGTTATAAATATAAACAATGTTATGGAACTTGTAGTGAAAATTGTAAACAGCATCAGAGGTAAGGCATTAAAAAGACGTCTTTTTCGTGAACTGATGGACGAAGTAGATTGTCATTATGGAGATTTACTATTACATTCTAACGTTCGTTGGTTAAGTAAAGGTAAAGTACTACATCGTTTTAAAGAATTATTACCACAAATTAAAATTTTTTTACAAGAAATTGATATTGTTTATGAAGAATTAGAAAATATAAAATGGCTTGAAGATTTTGCATTTTTAGTTGATATTACTGAAAAAATTAATTTCCTAAATTTAGAGTTACAAGGAAAAGAAAAACAAATTATTAATATGATATCAGATGTTCAAGCATTTTCAAGTAAATTAGCATATTGGGAAAATAAAATGAAAAATGGTGATTTCCAGCATTTCCCTACGCTTCAAGAAACAATAATTAATTATTCTGAAAATATTTATGAGCCTACAAACCACATAAATATAATTCAACATTTACGTTCCGAATTTAAAAGAAGATTCAACGACTTTAAAATACTTGAGCCAGTTGCGCAGTTTATATCAAATCCATTTTCTGGGGATGTTGAGACACGAGCGAATGAAATTGGAGATTTGTTTAATCTTGATAAAACAGTTTTGGAAATGGAAATAATAACGTTACAAAATGATTCAATACTTAAGATTACCTCGGAGTTTTGGAAACACGCAAGTGCTCAAAAATACCCAAATCTACGAAGCATTGCCCTTCGTGTAACTTCATTTTTTGGTTCAACATGGTTATGCGAGTCAACATTTTCGAGTATGAAATACTTAAAGAACAAATATCGGTCAAGAATTACAGACAGTAATTTAGATTCAAGTTAACGAGCAGCTGTTTCTAATTACTTACCAGAATTTTTAAAAATTGCAGGAAACCAATGCCAGGTATCACATTAATACATTTATAAAATCACATTATTTAAATAACAATTTTTTTTACTATTTCTCATGTATTATCAATATATTACATTATTATTATTATTATCATCATGAAGAAACAATAAATATTTATTCTTTGGAGCTTAGACCTTTTTTTTTTTTTTTGCTCGTAAAACTAAATTATCCTAGATGTCGATCACCTGGGACTAAAAATTTCAAATATAGCTCACTTGTTTGAAAAGGTTGGCGACCCCTGGTTTAGAGTCTAAACTTTAGACGGACAAAAAAACTTAGCTTTTAAAATCAATGTATACATAGCTCTGCTTAGTATCTGTATAAAGCGATTAGGGTGTACGCTATTTATGTCATATTTGCTATATTTATATAAAATATTTTAATTATTATTTTTTACCTTCTACCATCAATCGATTGGCTTCATTTCGTCTGTACACAGATGGACTTATGAGACGATTTACCATCGCATCTAAACATCGTTCTTTTTCTGAACCAGCTAATTTTCGTTTCTTCTTGTGATTCGTCTTAAAAGATCCAGTATAAGTACAATTCATTAAAACTCTATAAGTAATTACATAAAATTAATCAAACGTTTAAAATCAAATATTTTTTGATAAAAATTGTATTACCGAATATTTGCAGATGGTACATCTTTTATTTCACCATAAAATATTGACCCACATTCCGTGCATTTTCCATAAACTGACACATATATATTTGCTGATGGTTGCACTTTTGCCCTTTTAAAAGTAATTGAACAAGGAAGTTTTGTGTGTAAAAAAAAATGATCCTGAACTACGTTGCTCCAATGGAATGGTGTCAAAACTTCATAAGATCTGCTACGTTTCTTTCCGCAGTACAATGTACTCTGAGAACTTATGCTAGCCCATTCTTCAGAAGATAGTGTTAATGAAAAAGTAATCACTTCAGTAGTTGAATCTTTATTGTCAGAATTATCATCTTAAATGATAAAAATTATGTATATAATAGTTTCAATTAAAAAATTATAATAAAATTATTAAAATTATAATATTATATAAAATATAAATTATACTACCGCTTGTTTCTTCTTGTGTAGGTTCACTAATCTCTATTAATGGAAGTAATCCTAACTTTTCCCTAATTCCTCCACGATTAAGAGCTACTCTAACCCGAATTGATGCTGCAGTGATTTCTTTGTTATATTTTTTATTGACAATATTTGCTATTTTATCCCATACTTGATCCTTAGTTCCAGCAATATCTTCCAACAATAATAATTTAGTACAATTATCTAATCATGCAAATTGAATTTTCTAATTTTTACTTACTTCTTCCATCCTCACTGATAATTTCATATTTTAAACTTAAGATTTCAGCATCTATGATAGCACTTTCTACTTTAGGTTTTCTACCCATGCTTAATAAACATAATATAAATTATATAAATACTAAATAATAAAAAATGTGTTACCTTGTATACTAGTTACATTACTAAAGAGTTTTTAAATTGTTCTTGAACATTAGTGATGTTAAAGATTTTGCTAATTTTTAATTTAAATTAAGTAATAAAACATTATAGGTGACTAATAAACTAATAATATACCTACAATTAATTATTTAACTATCGGTCCACCAGTGACCAGTCGTAAAATTAGATAACACTATTTGGTACCTATTTAAAATGTTGACATTTTGTAATTATTTTGTAATTATAATTTATAGGTACTTATAAATATGTCTAATGTACATAGTAAGTATTTTATAATATATAATGTCTAAAGTATACACTCTGAACTGCCCATACCATTAAAAGAGAATATAACTAAAATAAAAAAATTGAGGAACTTGCTCTGCTTTATAGTGCACCATTTCATTAAGTATAATACAAAGTAGGTCACTGTTGTGGTTTCGTTAAATTTGAATTCAATCACAGGTCTAAAAGTCTCCCTATATTGCAAAGGATATGTTAAGTAATTTGGAACTATGGAGTGGTTAAATTAGACTAGTCAAATTCCTCGTGCTTTACTTATGAATTCGATTGTAAAAAATAAATAAATTTATTGTAGTAACTGCTATAATAAAAATAAATTACTAATAGCACTATAAATAGATATATAATAGAGGTGGGAATTTTCAGTCGTTTGAATGATTCGAATCATTTGAATCGGATCAGTCTAGTGATTCGGTCAAATGATTCGGTCATATCAGTCATTTCGGTCTTGCATCAAATATCGTTCTTATCATTAGGTGAATCAATTTTCTTATGAAATATGAATCAGTCAATCAGTGACTGAGATTATTATTATGATAATGTTGTAGATTGTACTGTTTGTAGCATAGAGTAATATTACCATAGAAAAAAGATTAAATTAAGAATATTACGCCGTGGTTTTTATCATAAACCATGATAATTATCACGGTCTTGGATTATTAATTATTATTGTATGTATTTAATATTACACTAATATACAACCTATCTATGATTACTAGATTTGTGTTTTCTTTAATACCTTACAAAATCTTAGTTGGTATCGTGAAAGTAACCATCCACCGCAGATTAGGTATATTATATTATCTTTTAATCACGAGATGAAATTATTATTAACATGTAAATCAGTACAACAACTACTTACCATAGATATTAAAGAGTAGTCAATAGTGACTATCAATAATCGATACTGTCTATTGGATAATAATATTATTGTTTTCCCAGAGAATAGACTAAAGACCCATGTCCATGACAATATGACATAGTAGAATTATTATTATTATCATATTTTAAACTTATTATTTATTATGCATGGGTTGTACTATCTATTACCTACCAAAAAATAAAACAAAATTATTCAACATTTTGTATTTTTGTAATTTGTTCAAAAAAATTCTAAATTATACAGAATTTACAATATTGTGATCATATATTTTATATTTTCAATAATTTTATAATTCAAATTTGGTTGTTTTATTTTTAAGTATTTCTTACCTAGTAAATCATAAAAGTAAGTATAAGTAAAAAGTGTAGTATGACTGTATAAACAAATTGTGTTAAATAGTTGATATTATATACATGATACATCATAGGCGTAAACTGGAGGGGGCAACTGCCCCTCTTGATATTTTGTAAAATGCATTTATTAGGTATATTTAGTCTCCAAGTATCTTTAAGTAAACGGTATATTGCCATAAAATAATGTTTGCCAAGTTATGCCCATGATATACATGGTATTATTTATCATATTTTAACTTATTTAATTATGTTAACATTTACAAAACAAACATGCTAAACAATTTGTATTAGAGTAGCTTTTAAAGTTATTGAATTGATCTTTAAAAAAATATTACAAAATACATATAATCTAAAATGCTGAATACAATTTTCAATTGTTGTTGACTTTAAATTACTTGACTAAATTTAAAAAAAATACTGACTATCTCAATTTAAAAATTAAATTATAAAATAGTTGCTTACAACCTTAATTTAAAAATAAAATAAATAATTGTTTGTTACCTACTGCTAACATAATTACATAATTATTATCTATTAAAACTAAATAGAAGTTCATTGTATTCATTATTTAAATAATGCAATGGATTATCTCAAGTATGTAGTTCAAATAAATAAATACTGTTATGTTTATTAACAAGGTAATACAACTTAATTATGCTTTCGAAAAAAAGAAGCTCCATCTGGAACCATTTTACAATAGTAGACCAAAAGTATGCTAAATGTAGTTATTGCTCGAACAAAATTAGTTATGGTGGTGGTTCAAGTGGCAATTTATTGAGACACATGAAAACTAAGCACATAACAGTGCCACTTGATCGAACTGCACGCCATCATTCTTCAAATACCATGACTGAGCATGATCATATTGAGGAACATAATATAGATGAACCATCTACTTCGGGAATGCCAGCATCAAATACTTCCACTCAAATTTTGACATCAGTAACACCAACCAATATTAGACCCGTTCAGAGCTCCATAACTTCCTATGTACAAAAACCATTATCCATTACAAAATCAAAAAAAATAGATTCTCAAATAGCAAAATTAATCATTAAACATTACCATCCTTTTAGTCTCGTTGAAGAAAAAGAATTCAAAAATTTAATACAGATGTTGGCACCAGGTTATGTTCTTCCCAGTAGAAAAACTGTATCCAATAGCCTTTTGCCTCAGTTATATGAAAGTACAGTTGATACTATTAAAATCAAATTAAAAAATGTAACAGCAGTTTGCTTGACAACTGACGCTTGGACTTCAATTAATAATGATTCTTACGTAGCAATTACTGCCCATTATATCGATGATGATACGAAGATGTCATCAATCCTGATTGGTTGTCAACATTTCACAGCCAGACACACAGGTGTTGAAATGTCTTCTCTCCGTATAGAGCAGGTAAATAAATGGGGATTAGTTAATAAAATAACTATGATTGTTAGTGATAATGCGGCTAATATGGTGGCAGCTGTTCGATTATGCCAGTGGAGGCATTTTCCATGTTTTGCTCATAGCATCAATTTAATAGTACAATCTGGGCTAGAGGAAGTGAAACCAATATTAAGTAAAGTAAAGGCCATTGTGGAATATTTCAAACGCAGTTCTCACGCATTGTCTCGTCTAAATGATATACAGAAACAATGTGGTTATTCTGTTTTGAAGCTGAAGCAAGACTGTCCTACGCGGTGGAATTCCACATACGATATGGTTGATAGACTTTTAAAAATAAAAGAGCCAATTTTATCAACATTAGCCATTATTAATAATGATCTTAACACAATCACATTTGATGAGTGGAATGTCTTGAAAGTGCTTTGTCAATTATTAAAAATTTTCTATGATGTAACTAATGAAATAAGTTCAGAGAATTATGTATCTATATCTAAAGTTACAATATTTTCAAGGGCAATGGTGAACTATGCATCGGGGTACACTAATAACCGTACAATGCCAACTGAAATTTGTTCAGTGGCAAAAATTCTAACAGAGAAATTGCATTCAAGATTTGACCAGCTCGAAACTAATGAAGTTGTGATGCAATCGATATTATTAGATCCACGCTTCAAAAAACAAGGGTTTCCAAATAATGACAAGTACCAATCGGCATATCAATCGTTGTCAAGGAAAGTGCAAAATTTACCTATTGGACAAGACGCTCAAGAACCAGAAACAACAGTAGGTATTGGTCCACTTTCTGGACCGGAGACTATTTGGAAGGATTTTGATACCAGAGTTACTGCAGTAAGTGGTGGTTCTAATGTGACAGTAGCTGGTATATTAGAATTGGATAGATATATTGCCGAACCATTATTAAAAAGAACAGAAGATCCATTAGTTTGGTGGAATGAACGCAAACTAGTTTATCCAAAACTGTACCAATTAGTTTGTCGTAGGTTATGCGTTGTAGCCACATCAGTTCCATGCGAGCGCATTTTCTCCAAGGCTGGCATGGTGTTGACGGAGAGACGGTCAAGACTAACGACTGACAAAGTTGAGAAGTTGTTGTTTCTAAATCATAATTTAGATTAAAGTTATTTTTTATTTATATTTTTATTTACAGTTGTTAAAAATTAATGAGTTCAACGTGTAAAAAGGAAAATGTTACTTTATCAACAGGTTATTTAAATTTTTTTTATTGAAAATTAAAAAAGTAAACTGAATAGTTTTAATTTAATAAAGTTATTTACCTATTATTACAAATAATATACTGACTTCTGACTGTTCTGAGACCTCTATAATCTATAGGAACCTAACCTACTAACCTAGTACACTTGCTAGTCAATTAAAATCAGTTTTGAAAATTGAATAAACCTCTTTAAGTCACAAGATCGACACACAAGTCATAAACTACTATACTGCTTAGTGCTTATTGCCTTATCAGTTTATTGTCATTTAATTGATAATACTGTTTGTCTAATATATATAGTTAAATAGGTCAAAAATTGAAAAATATGCTATGTAAGTGTAAAATATGTTGTAACTCGTAAGTGTGACCAACATCCTTAACAGTGTGTTAAATAATAAATTCCATTCGACTCTGTCCGATCCGATTCCGTCTGAAAGAAAAGTTTCATTAAAAACCGTCAAACGAGTCATTTGACCGAAAGACCGAATACGTTTTGGTACATCATTCGGTCGCGATTCGGTCACTTGATTGATTCGTTCATTTTGATTCGATCAGTCGCGACCGACCCACCTCTAATATATAATAACATTATATTATCCAGGCTGACTGACCATATTAGTGACAGAAACGTATGCTCAGAATCAAGTTCTGTATGCAATGATCATTGTCATCGAATTCCAATGGATGTGTTGAATACATACCTACCCAATGAAGGCAGTGATAAGGTAGTCAGTATACTCGGCGAGTGAAATACAGCAGACAGAGTTCCCCAATTTTAAATTTTTTAAATTCATTTTTCTTACTCATACAGGTATTTTATTACAGACATAACAACGAAACCAAAATAGCTTACCTCAAAACAGCGATGACAAAACAGCTTCTTGTAACAATACCTATATTGAATCTTGTAATAAGAAATAAGGGGAACGAAATGGCCTAGCCTTCTAGGGCGTCCGTTGCAACATGCAACATGCACATCCACCAAACTTCGGTCACGAGTGGCCCCTCTCTTTGGGCAGTCACGGTGCCCCCCCCCCCCAAGGGCGTGGCAGAAACCTAAGGGTGCTCACTTGAAATACTGCCTAACACAAACGTATTCCAAAACTGACCGTTCTCTATAGTCCCAAAACCCTGCAGTACCAACCTACAGCTAATGACCTCAATTCCTGAAGCTTAATAAAAAGAATAAAATAAAAAGCAATACCTCATATTTCTTTAAACTTTAAAGGAAACAACTAGAGAATAGCTATATTAATTTTTATAATTATAATATTATATAAAATATAAATTATACTACCGCTTGTTTCTTCTTGAGTAGGTTCACTAATATCTATTAATGGAAGTAATCCTAACTTTTCCTTAGTCCTATCACAAAAACAAAATGGGGGGGGGGGAGGGGGCGATTATTTCATTATCGTTAAAAGTGCCAACTCCATATGGTTCAAATTTTATTCGATTCGTTTATTTTATATTCGGTATATGATGTTCAAACTTAAACATTTCATCGTTATTCTTGAATTTAATATATTATGCGAGACACGCTTGTGATTATAGGAGCAGTTTCACGCACAAACAAGGGGTGGGTACGTACCTAATTACAATGTTGTATTAACGCAATAACATGTTGTTCTTATGATGTACATCATTCGAAACATTAGACTTGTGAATAAAATGTTTACCAAGTCATATATTTTTGACCCAACATAATATAGGTACAGGTCAAAATTTATATTCAATCATAAACAATAACAACCTGAATAAACAAAAATATATTATTATTTAGTTTACTTTTTTTTTGCTGGACTGATGGCGCAACTCTTACAGTTTTTCCATCCAAATTTCCTATATTTCCGGTGGGTTTTAATAAAATATAATTTCATACAAACCTTGTCTTGATAATTACAAACAGGACAAAAAAATTATTCAAATCGGTCGAGCCGTTTTTGAGTTTTAGCGAGACTAATGGAGAACTATTCATTTATATAAGTAGGTAGATAGGTTGTACCTACCATTCCTGGCCAACCTCAAATTTTATCAGTAAAAGATTATAAGGAAAACAATATGCAAAATATCACAAATTAAAATATATATAATCTAAAACATCCATTTAAACAATCCTATTTAGAGTAGTGTTTAATTAATAAAATGAAAATAAATATATATTATTAAAACATACTTCTTTCATGCTATTTCTAAGATAGGTCTTTACTCTTTTCAAACTGGAAAAAGTTCTTTCAGGCGTTGCAGTAGACACTGGCAGTGTGCACAAAATTTTTAACAGTGTTTAACAGGCTTATGGCTAAATAAAATCATATTGTTTTATCTATACAATTTTATATTATACCTATAACTATTTTATTGGTGTATCAACACATCCTCCAAAAAATGGTAAATGTGTTAAATTAAAAATAACTACAATATTTAATTAATTTAAGTAACAATAACTTACTTGATTTCGATCGGTGTTTTGAGCACTAGATAACTCAGAAACAGGATGAGTTTGAGTAACAATTTCACTGCTAGCACCTCTAACGTCGGTAACTTGAGTGAAATAATTTGTTATGGCACGCTTTTTGGTTATAACCGATAACAACACAAACATCCAAAAAAAAAAAAATATATATAATTACTATTATTGATAAAAAATTTTTATTTGAAATAAATTTATGAACTTTCCGAGGGGGGGGGGGGGTTGAACCCTAAGGTGTCTAACCTACCTCCTAAAGTTATGCTACAATAATTTTCCCAGTCGAATACTATACGCAGGTACTTACATTTGATTGAACGATCTATTTAATATATTTCTTCCAGTCCAGAGTCTTTCAACTAATATATTTACAGCTATAATAATTAACTATGTTATTAAAATGTAAATTACAAAATGTGTAATAAGTAATGACTCATATTTATAGTATACTTACCTTTAAAAACACGATACTTAAAAATGTTTATAGGTACATTGGAACGTTGATTATAATGATATAAAAACTATGATAAAAATATAAAATATATAAATAATACGCTTTCATTATTCCCGAAGAACAATTGTAAAGAACAAAGTTTAGGTAACTCATCATGGATTCGGATATTGGTATGGTTCTTTTGAAATCGTTTCAGCTTTTTGTAAAAAATTACAATACGCAATGAGCACTAATACAATTCTTTGCTATTAAAAAGTATTTAAGGTTTTAATTAGGTATAATACTCATACGCCAATAATTATATTGTAACTGAAAATATTTCAAAAACTCTGTTTCTTCTAAATTAGTATTAGTTATACGAGCAGCAGATTATTATGTCAAATAAAATAAGATGTGGTTGTTGTGATATTTTTTTTTTCGAAAAGTATCTGTACAAATATGCAATTTCTACAGTAAAATTGTACTTGGTAAAATGTATTCAAAAACTTCTGATCATGGTATTTTATACACATAGAAAGTATTTGAATAAAAATACTCAAATTAAATATCGTAAGACACTGCTCATTAATATACATATTGTATTATAATATTAGTAAAGTAGGTACCAACTGAATATTTTATTTCAACCCATTTTTGGTGGAGACAAATGACATTACATAATTTCCACTAGGTCTGAGTTACCGGAAAGTCGAACTTCTGTAGTGGTGGGGCTGTAGCAACGTTTCCCTGGCCCCACCACACACATACTTGGTTTTGAGCGGTTTTGGTTTGGTTACACATGTTTTTTTGGTGGTTACAAATGATTACAAATGATATTACATAATTTGACATAAATTATTATATATTTAGAGAAAGTGGTGGGGCCAAGGTAACGCACCTGACACATATTGGGATGTTTCCCCAGTGGTCAACAATGAAGACTACCCAGAATTTGCCTATGTTAACAGGGAAAAAATGTCATTCCATAAATACTCAAATTGTAAGTTTTAACAAAATATTATTAATAAGATAAAAAAAGGAACATATTTTATTACCTATTGTATTGTAGATAGTTGACCACGAGTACCGTATTTTAAACGTGAATGCAAAATTCCCAGGATCAACACACGATTCTCATGTATGGAGAATGAGTGTAGTTAGGCAGCACCTTTATAACACATATCGGAATTCCAAAGAATGGTTGCTGGGAGATTCTGGATATCCTCTTGAACCGTGGTTATTGACACCATTTTCTAACCCAAACAATGACGTTTATCAAATGTTTAATGACGCCCATTATCAGGCTCGTTTTAACTGTTGAACGTGCAATAGGAGTTTTAAAAGGCAGACGGAGATGTTTATGTAAACAAAGAAACCTACACTACAAGCCCCCTGTCTGCAGGAAGATTATAAATGCATGTGACACACTCCACAATATCTGTATTCAAATGGATGATTATTTACCAGTAGATGAAATTCTTGTGGATAATTATGACGATAATGTTATTCATTTTGGAAATACAATGTATAACGTTAGAGATAAAAATCGGAGAGCAGTAATTGCTTATATGAACAATAATTAGGGATGATAATAATTGTAATATAAAACATAATACTTAAACTACTAATAACACTAAATAGGTACTTAAAAGTTTAAGTTAAACTGGTTTTTACAATTTAGCCAATAAATGTTTTTGTTTTTTTTAATTAAGATTATAGTTATCTTTGCAATGATATTCACATTATTATGCCACAAAAACATCATAATTTAATATCATTAAATATGTATCATTGTCTCTCTTATGAAATCATTAAAATAACTATATACTATGTACCTACTATAATAGGTATTATCAGTACCGTGCTAACCATCAGTGGCGCCCTAGGGCAATTAAATTTGGCGCCCCTAATCTCAAGTGGTCGTAAGAGAGGGGAGGGGGAATTAGACATTTTCTTAAAGCACCAAAAAAATCGAAACTATTCAAAATGTTATTATTATCCGGTTACTTCACATTGAATTATTTATATTTATAATAATTAATAAATGAACAAGTAAAACAACTCAATTAATAAACAATGAATTTGGTTAGGAGGTAGTAAGAATAAATGTATATAAACATGAATAACAACATTTTTTTTTTATAATAATATTGAATAACGATTTTATAAATAACTTTATACAAATGTTTTTTTTCTAGCTTTAAGTTTTGAGAATTTTTTAACAAGACTTGTCCAACTGATATTCTTGACAATTTCATTTTCAATACATAATATTGATAATGCTGATGTTTTTTCATTTGATAATGATGACCGTAAATAGTTTTTGACTCTCTTCAAAACAGAAAAGGACCTTTCTCCACTGGCATTAGAACATGGCATACAAATAAATAATTTTAAAGCAATTTCAACATTAGGAAAAGTTGTGATTAATGATGGATTATTATTAAGGTTTTAACATTCCTTGCATGTTTTTGGTTTCTTTGGGAAAATTTATAATGTATTTTTTAAATTGAACGATTTCTTCAACAAATTCTACTTCTAAATCATTAACATAATACTCCACAAGCTTTAATGCTTTTTTACGTAGTTCACTAGCTTCAATAATTTCCATATCAGAAAAAAATCCGAATTTGTCACATAGCTTTGTATATGCTTCTTTTCTTTTATTTAGTTGAAGAATCAATGCATCCATTATAGGAATAAAAGCTTCATTCTTCATTTTGTCTGAATTAGAAAATATAACTTCACCACTAGACTCTTCATCAAAAAATATATTTCTGCGTTTAGTTCTAGTTTCCTCCCAAGAAAATTTATTTATGCCACTAATTTTTATCGCTTCACTTAAAAATATTTCAAAATTGTTTCTTTGCTCTTGAATATAACATACAAATGAATCATATAGAGAAACTACACACGACAAATCAATATTAATTAACTGAAGACTTTTAGAAGTTTTGTCAAATCTTTCTAAAAGAGGCGTCCAAACAACTAAAAGAAAGACAAAATCTAATGATTTTATTTTATTGTAAATTGATTTGGATTCATGTTTAACTGCATTTCGTTGATTTAAATCATTATATATTATTTCTAAAGCAGCGAGAATTCCAACATATCCATTTTTAATTGATTTACAAACAGAGTGCCGTGATGACCAACGAGTAGGGCATAAGTTTTTTAGAAGTTGAGCATTAGGAATTTGATCTAACTCTTTCGATAAAGTATTCCACCTCGAGGTAGACGCAGAAAAAAAAGTATATAGGTTTTGAGCTCTCAAAAAAAATGTATTTCCCGTGCTGGTTAGTTCTGCAACAAATGTCCCAACTAAATTTAAAGAATGGGCTGAGCATGGTACAAATTCTGCTGTACTTGATTTTTGCTTAATCCGTGCTTGTAAGCCATTATAGATGCCCGACATATTATTAGCGTTATCAAACGACTGACCTCTGCAATTTATCATATCAATGTCCAAGTTTTTAAACATTTTCATTAGTTCCAATTCCATTTCTTTTGCTTTGTGACCAACTGAAGGAAGAAACCCTATAAATCTCTCTACAGGTGAACCATCTTTGCAAATGTACCGTACTGCCACGGTTAATTGATCTACCTTTGTAACATCTGGCGTTGAGTCTACAATTATTGAAAAATATTTGGCAATTTTTATTTCTTTAACAATACATTGTAACACAGTTTTACTCATAAGATCAATAAATTCATCACATAATATTCTACTTGATAAATAAGATACATTTCCACGACCTTTATTAGAGTATTTATCAATGTGATTAGCGAGAAATGGATCAAACTTTGATAGGAGTTCGAGACAGCCAAGATAATTTCCATTAAATTTGGAACCAATTGTTTCATTGTCTCCTCTAAATGCCAGACCTCTTGTAGCTAAAAATGATATTGTTTCAATTAATCGATGAAGTAATTTTGTCCAATACTCTTCTTCTTTATTAATTTCTATTTTAAGAGAATTGTCTATACAGTATTGGTTATCAAGCTGCTAGAATGCCATTTACGGACTGATTCAGTAAGCTTAATACATTTTTCATGGTGATTAACATCCAATAAACAATTTTTCCAATTAATATACCCAGATACTGGACGACTAAATTTAGTTTTCCTCTGAGCAAAAAGTAATCAATAGAAACAAAATAGTGAATTTTGAGAGTGAGAGTATAAAAGCCAATAACGATGTTTGAATTCGCCATTTAGTAATTTTCTGAAAAATGCTTCACGTGGCAATTTCCTATTATATTTACCAATTCTTCGAAAAGTTTTGTTAAATTGGATGTCCACCAAATTTGTCGTTACTTGATTTTTAGAATAATAATCAAACTCTGATTCATTCAAAACCCATTTGGCTGGATCATTACTAAACCAGCAATCATATTGAACATTTGAATCTTTTACATTACATTTAACCTAAAATTATAAAATATTTATAAGTAAATGCTTAATTTTAGTATTAAATATATTAAGAATTTACACAAGGACATTTTTTAAAAAATGGTTAATACTTTTATATTAAAAAATACAAATTATATAATATAGCTAACAATTATGCTGAGAGTATTTAAAATGTTATAAAAAGCTCACAACTAATTAATAGTTTTGACCAGTAATGATCATCAGGTTACATGCTTTCAATTATTAAAATTACAAATATAGGTATCATATTTAATATAATTGTATATAATTTTAAATTTTTATAATTTACATTCAGACCATTCAGTTCAACAGAAAGTCATCAACTGCAAGTGTGTTAGAGCGGTTAAATACATAATATATTATAATAAAATTATTAAAATTAATTAGATATGTCAAATTTGTTGGTAATAATTTGTTTTATACTTACAGTTTCAAGTGTGTCAACATTGTTGGTTTCTATATTCTTTATTTTACAGTTTTGACTAGCTTCTTTTTTATCAAAATCTATACTAGTAGACACAGTCCTTACATAAATTTGATCTTTGACTTGATTTGACATGATTTCATTCTAAAATTAATTATGAATTAAAATTAAAATTATAAATAGCAATTTTTTCTTTTTTTTTTGGCGTTATACTTTTGATAAAATTATATAAGCCCATATTCTTTTATTTATTGATATATATTTTTTTTGTTTTTGTTTTTATTTATATAATTTACAATTTGTTACAGAATAGAACAATGAATAAAAATAATGAAAGAATAATGGCTTGAGTGAAACACAGATTAAAGAAACCTTTCAGTAAAGGCACTTTGACAGTTACTAATTTCTTGACATAAATTATATTATTGTTTTGACTTACTTCCTTTTTACCATCAACATTTACGACAGACATAGGACACCTCACATTAATCTGGTTTTTGACTTGAACTTGTAGTAATTTGTTGGTTTCATTCTAAATTAATAATAAGTAGGTACATATAAAAATCAAAAACATTAAATCATACCTAAACTTTTATTTGATACTTACAGTATCACAACTATTACTACCGTCCACATTCATGTCATCATTAATTTTATAATTATGAATCTCTTCTGTTTTTTCATCTACCTGTAATGTAGGAGTATCTGTTACAACCTTATTATGAACTTCATTAGGCTAAATCAATTAAAATTAAATATTAATGAACAAACAATTAACAAACATTTATTTTAATCAAGATTAACCACATTGTTCTAGTAAATATTTTAAGTCCCTTGTGGCCTCGCACAATTGTTATTATTATTATTAGTATTATTCACGGTTATCTACACAGGTTGGAGCTCGCGGCCTTATCACTTGTCGAAGTGGCGACTATAGGAACTATTAGCGCTAGCTGTACTTGGCCCGGTATGGCGGTATATTATTATAAATTATAATACTTAATATTAATATTACCTATAATATATTATAATGTATAATAAATTATATATATATATTTTACTTTTCATACATACAATTTCTAATTATATCATTTAACACGTTTGTTTTTTAACTTTTCCTCCATAAAACTGTACATAAGTAATATTGTTTGTTCATTGGAATGTAATTAGGGAAAGGGTTCATTATAATTACTTTTGAGTTTTGAATATTAGGTAATTAAAAATAATTTTTACCATTTTAACTCAAAAGCATTCATATATACATACATTTAGTAATTAAAATTATCAATATATTGTGTTAGATGATAATCACATAAATATTTTAATCGCCAGAAATAATATAAATACTCTATACCAAAAAAAAAAAAAACACTTCAATATCCACCTAATAAATGTAAATGTAATATTAAAAATTATACTCAAAATCTCAGTTGAAACCACAAGTACCTAGTTGAGTCAAGCTATGAAAGTGAAGATTCATGTAGCCTGGAAAATAAAATAAGTTTGTTAAATAAATTCATAGTTATTAATATTTTGTTAAATAAGCATACAATTAATAAGCAGAGAAATAAGCATACAAATAAGCATATTTAGCATTCACTTTGCACTTTAATTGTATATAATAATATTTATAAAGATTATGAATTGTAATAATAACATTAAGAAAATTATGAACTGTAATAATAACATTTAGAAAATTATGAATTGTAATAATAACATTTGGAAAACTATGAATTGTAATTATAACATTTAGCAAACTATGAATTGTATAATTTAGCAATTTTTTTCTTTTCTCTTGCAACTTTTTGGAATTTGAGATTTTCTTGGTATGTATGCTGGCGCATTCTCATCTGTAAGTAATACACTATAACTTCAGAAGCAACTTCAACTTTATGAAAAGAACAGCTGAATTTAAAATTCAAATTATTTTGAGTTATATCATTGATTACATTTTCAAATACATAAAAATCATTACAGTGTTTTGCAAAAGAATGTTCAACCATGTTTAAAAATTCAAATAAAGCTTTATTTGGATACATCAGCTTCCCATTTGTTTTTAAATTTACTAGTTCTGCACAGGGATGATCAGCGTTGCCTTCTTTAAAATAACTTATGCACTCATTACATTTTTGCTTTTTTAAAATTTGTTTAGTCACATACACACAAATATAGTAGATTAAACAATCTCTGGTACTATTTTCAATGCTGTTGTCAACTTGAGGAAGCACATCACAGGGTTCCCATAGGCCATCTTCAATTAATTGATCTAATTTTACTTTGAGTTTGTTAATTTTTTCAGTTCGCTGAAAAGATTTATTATGAAAAATTTCTTTTAAGTCAGATATAGAAATTTTAGGAGCATCCATAGTTGTAATTGTACAGTTGCCATGTTTAGGAGGCTTAAGCACAGAATAAACCGAAAGAATTTTATAAAGATGGAGAAAAGTTGGAGTTGTTGGGTGATCGTTTGGCCCACATGATTGTCTTATAATGCCAAAGAATTTCTGTAACAAAATAAGTTATACTATAAAGTGTTATAAATATGTAATTTTTAACTTATATTATATCATTTTTTTTTATAAATAATAATTACTTCAAGTGGGTCTTGGCACATTTTACCAGTAAGAACATAATCATAACCACATGTTTCTAATAAGTATTTTGACAGGTCAATTGTTGAAGTAATCGTCACTCGAAGTCCTTGAGCCGTTTGTTTGGTTAAAAACTCTTCTAGACCAATACTGCCATCAATCATTTGATCTTCCCAACAGTTGATATAGTGCAATGCATTAACAAATCCCTAAAATGATCAACATACATCATTTTGATACATTTAAGTTGTTATTTTGGGAGACACTCATAAGACTACGGACATATAACCGTGCATAAGACCAATTATTTGTAATTTCGCTATTTTCTTTTTTAATTTCCACTATAAACTAATGTTAGAATTCAATCAATTAAATACTTCAAATTTATAAAAAAAAAAATTGTACAAAAGTTGATTTAGTAACTAAAATTTAAAAATTATATTTTAATGCTTTTAAATTAATTAATAATTGCATTACTTGAAACCCTTCATCGTTAGTAGATTTAAGACCTTGCCATGGTAAATTCCGATTAAAGTTGTCAAACAAATTGTTCCAAAATTCAACAAAATTGGCAGTTTCTCCAGCATTTTTGAGCATAAGACTTCCTTTTGACTCATAGAAACGTATTGCATTTGCCATACTCATACTAAAAACCTTAAAATAATAATGATTCAAGTTTAAAAATAAAACATTATTTGACAATATTATAACTGTTTATAATTTAAAATACAATATTTTGATAAATTTCATTTGTTAATACCTGGGTACATAAGCGAACTCGCATTTTTGCCATTGGAGTCAAATCTAGGTGCTGTGGTGTTATCCTAGGTACCATTCTTAAATTTCCTGGGTGTTTTATATCTTCTTTGTAAACTTCTTTAAAGTAGTCCCAGGAAATTTGTTTTGAATTAGGATGAAGCTATTAGACAAAATTATATAATAATGATTTATTTCAACTTAGAAGGAAAATAATAATTAAATCAAGAACTCTAACAAATATTCATCCAAAATATCTTTTGAACCACTATGATCTCGGTCTCTAAAACATAATTAATATTTAAAGTAATAGATAAAAAACAAAAGTTACCCTTAAATATTTATTATTATGTAACCGATTCCTGACACATTTAAATAAGTGTACAAAATCAGATAACACATAGACTTTGCGGCTTGGGTCAATTGGGTGTTAGAAATAATTCTTTAAATTATCTTTTGTCCCATCAACTCCAAACTCTGTCCACATACGACGGTTTGTAGTAGCACCATCACATATTATCCCATCAACATATAATCCAATATTCTCCATAAGTGATATTGCTTTTAAAACAAGCTGTGCTATTATTACACCTAATAACAATAATAATAATAATTTAATTAATCTGAAATTCTATATTCTAAAATACAAAATATCATAAAACATAAATTACAAAATATATTTTATAAGTTAGATAAAACTATACCTTTAACTTCCCCTTTTGATGCAAAACAACCTATGGTTTGACTAAAATTTGATCCCAAAGATTGCCACATAAAAACTAGGGCATGGTCAGCATATTCTTTGTGACAATTTTTATTTTCTACTTCTCCACCATAGTCTTCTAGGCCCAAATAGGTAAAATTTGATGAATTTACAGCTAAACTTTTCCGTAAATTTACTGCATCAAATAACAATACACCATGTTTACTTCTTTCAAGCATTCCCTCACTTTTTTTTTGTAAAAGATTTAAAAAATCTTTGTCAAACCCACAAGTTGACTTTACTAATGACAAATGCTTACGCACAGTTTTTGGATGAGGCAGTGGAAGTAGAGCACTTGCTCTTAAGTACTTGTATGCTGAAGGAGATCGTATGTTAAATAAAAGACATAACATGAGCCAATTTTCACTATACCGTCTTGATTTTGAGTTTTTAACTCTACTAGCAGCAAAACACTCCATGATCATAGTTTTCTGTGATTCATTAATTCCATTTAATTTGTCTTTAATAAATTGTTCATTATATTCAGCCATATCTTTATGTGATTTACTAAGCTCATCTTGCAAATCACATATTTTTTTTTTAGTAATTGTTACCTTTCTTTGCAATGCATATGCTTTTTTTCTCATTTCAATGATTCTAGGCTTTTTGGACGGAGAAACTTCTAACATTTCTTTAGAACCAATAGCTTTCCTTTTTTCTCTACATGCCAACACATTTTTCAATAATTTACATTTGCTACAATAAGTGTCTTTTGAACAATTTTGAATGGTGAGGAGACATTGTCTGTGCTGGAGAAAGCCTTTAGTTGATTTAGTGCACAAGTCTTTAGGAAAGTTTGGAAAAATATTTGCTATAGGACTACCATAACATAATCTTATTGATTCAAATTTTTTAATATTATTTGAAAAATCTTCAATGTTTTTTGCAACTTCAATACCTTGTTCTGTTATATCAATAAGTTTACCATTGACAGCATAAGACACTTGACCTTGTTTATTGACTTGTATACTTCTTTCAACAGTGGGTACTGAATTAGAGTTTGCAATAAAAATAACAAAACATAT